TTTTTTTTTTTGCAGACCTGGTGGAATTCTTGTTTGCAAACTAGAAGGAGCTTCTTTCTGGGAAAAAACACCTGGAGCTGATTTTGTTCCTCATTGCCTAGCTCTTCCTGAAGGTACATATTCCATGATTGTATTAGAGAAAATGACAGATCTGTAGAAGAAAAACTGTAATGTTATGTACTTAATCATGTTTGCCTAAGGTAGAAGTTAAGAGTGAATTTCTTTGAGTTGTCTTTGTGTTTAATTAACCAGCAGGATTATCACTTTTGTCTGTTGACCGTATTCTAACAAATCCAATGCCAGAGTGAAAATGCCATCACCCCTGTAAAGTGGTCATGTAGGTGGGCAGTTAAAGCTGTTTTTAAAATATGGCTCTTGGTTTAGGCCCTAAATTCTTGTCAATGGTTAACTATTTCACTCCCAAGATCTGAATGCCAGTTCTCTCCTCCAGCTGCTACACATTTCCTTGTAAATAAGTTACAAGAATTTGGTGTTAGATCAGATAACAACTACCAGATAAGTTTGAGAATTCTAATTCCCTAATTGCTGGATGAAGTAAGGGTATAACAGGGAGAAGTTTCATGTTATTCCATTCTAGGAGTTAAAAGGTTACATGTATGTAACATGCGCGTAACAAGCCAGTCCTTATCTGCACTCAATTATTATACACCTTTATTATATAGCTGTGTCTCACAAGGACTGAGAACTACCGAATTCACGAATTTGATTGGCTGAAATCAATATTGAAAGGGGTGTATATTTTCCCATCTAGACCGGCATCTAGACCGGTCTAGAAAAAAGAGTACAAAGAATATAAAAAATTGGCATACTAAGACACAGGCATATAATAAACGTCTTATTAACTGAGCTAGGTCGGTCTGTATGGGAGAATCTTGACCTCGGTTGAGATTCTCCCATACAGACTTCCCGCTCAGTTAATAAGAACTAAGTACCTTGTACCATAACACATTGTCATTGCTTCGAGTCTTTTTTATCTCACACTGTTTAGGGTCTTGCACCAGTTTATCCTTTGAGCCATCCACTCGTCACTGTCTGTTTTCACTTCGCCCCTCCAAGAAATTCCCTCAAACAAGACATTTGGTAGGATATTCTTATCTTTTGTAGTTCATTTGTCAATGTTTACCATGTGATAATTTTTCGTGATCTGAAGGTTAGACTCTGATGTAATTATGTTTAAGAGCCAGGTAAAAGTTTGGCCAAAGTAAAGAATCTTTGTCAACAAAAGTGTGTCTCTTCACAAAGAGGTACATGTAAAAACTGGTACCAAAAAAACTGGTGGGGAAAGTGTGTACTATAAGGGATTTAATAATGGTGCGTGATGCTACTACTAAAAACACGTAGCTACCTGTTGTTTTGTACCTGTAGATGACATTAACCAATACAAATAGTTATAAATTAAGAACTAAGTTCAACATTAACACCAGAATAAATGATGTCGTAAAATCAGTTACGTTTGAAATGGTGGAGAGAATTGAAGGACAGGCACATGATATCTCACCAAGAACATGAATCATAAGCCACCAAAGGGAATTAAAATTTTATTATATTTGATTTACAGTATATTTATTGTATATAACAGTATTACTCAAATACAATTTACAGTAGGTGTATTGGGGTTGATCTTACAGCCTTTGCCTCCAACAGGTGACTCATATCAATTTTCTTACAATTTCAATAAATTTAGCTGGAATTTAATGACAAAAGAGGTAGTGTGATGGTGTTGCATGTGTCTTGACATAAAACCAGATTCTCATAAGCAGGTCAAAAGGAGAGACTGGGATAGAGGTCAAGTTAAGAACTGTGTTCAATTGGAATAATTAGTGTAAAATTAATATTATATCCTGTACAACTCATTTAGGTTTGTCAGTTGCAAGGGAAAGGTGTGGGCGTATCAATGGCACGAGCTCAGGCAGAAGGAGTAGGGAGTATGGAGGCTGGTGGGGATGGTATGTACATTGTCGTCAAGTCGAATACATGAATGCTTACTGGTACCAGTAGTTATTGGTAACAATGATCAAATGAATGTTTAAGGGTGGCCAGAATACAAACAAAGAAATGATTTGGTTTGGTGTTTCGTGGTGCTACAACTGTGGGCTTGTAATCAGATGAGTTGATGGTATGGATTGAGATACTACAGAGATGGAAAAGGGGAATGTCAGTTACCATTCCTCTCATACTCTGCCATTTTGTGTCCACCTGTACTGTATGCTGATACAATAAACCAGCAATGCAGGTTAAATGACCTTGTGCATATAATTGGCTGGGAAATAGTTAGAACTAATTTCTTGTTCTCTTCTCAGATGCCAGCCTCTGTACCTGTCAGGCTGTCAATCAATGTGTCGGTGGCCCAACACAAAAGCTTCTCAGCAAATCCAGGTTGTTCACTTGTCCCAATGATTACAACACTCTGATGGTGGCAGCTGGCGATGAGAGCTTCTCATCCGTAAGTTTTCCTCCGCTTTTGGCCTTAAGTGGTTTTATCCTGTTTCTGAGCAGTGAATGGTATCTGCAATGACTTGGAGCTGGAAGGCATTAGAGGTGGCCAAGAGTGATGATGAATATTTATCCCTTTTGCTTGAGATCTCAAATTATACCTCCCACGTGAACCAACAGTCACTTTTGAGGGAAGATCAATCCGCTGTTAGATATTTTTTGCTATTCTGATTACCTTTGCACTGTCTGTACTGAGTATCTTTAGCCACTTCCAGGAGTGGAAGAGCTACTTGTATGATAAGAAGCATTTTAAAATTTACTTTGAAAAAGGAAAACCTAAATTTTTTACCACACATCCATGCAATAAACATTTTAAAATTAATGAAAATTTATTTTATTACATAAGAGAACAGAAGCATGTACATGTCATGAGCTTGACATTGATGTACCTCTCGGCCAAAAGGTTTAACCATCTGTCCAAACGTTTTAAGCAGATACATGTACCTAGCAATGAAAAAATGCCTACCTTGGTGTGTTATTGCTTGGGTGAATCCCACCTTACTGTGCACAATGTTTGTTACTCTTTCCCTCCCAGACTTTGATATGGAATGGCAGCAATGGTAACCAGCTGCAGAAACTACCCAACCAAGGAAAAGAGATCTTAGATGTTCTTCCCTTTGCTGCCAATGGAAATGATTATCTGGCCACAATTGATGAGCAGAAATTAAGTGTTTACAAATGGATGGATGAATGAATGAAATTTTTGAAGAATTCCAGTAAAGCTCAAAGTACCTATATTTTTGTATCATTGTGTCACAAGATCTGTGTCAATAATTGTACATTCAAAGCTATGGGATAAGAAAAGAGTGAAGAAGTTCTGTTAAATCTGCAGCTTAATTTTTGTGTATTGTTTGGGAAAGGGAATGCTAGTACAGAAAGCTGAAGATAGTTTATCATGCACACCACCAAATATTTGTAAGAGAATTAAAAAAAAAGATATTTAAAGTCAATCTGTGCAACAAACTGCTGCTATACTGGCCCCAGTTGTTTAAAGGGAGGATAACACTATACATGGCATCAATCTCTATCCCTTGGATAGTGCAGTTCATTTTGTTAACGTTATTTGCTAGATAGTGATTTATCTATTGTACAGAGTTATCCATCCCTTGAACAACAGGGCCCTGATGTTTAGAGCAGGACACTTGGAATAGTGGAAAGTGCTAAGTAAACAACAGCTCAGTGCTCATGCATAAAGATGAAACAATTTATGAACCTGTAATATATTATACTGTGAATAAGTTTTTTCAAGTTGTTGCATTATCATTCTTTGTTAATCTTGTTACTATCATTAAAGAATATAATTCAGTACCCTTGGCTTTGTCTTTTCCTCTACCATTCAACAACATGCATGCCATGAAGTAAGAGACATAATTGTATGCTTGCAAGGTTGCCAGTTATGTTTTGGACTATTTGAGTGGCAGATAAATGAAGGGGGTGTGTCTTAAAAGAAACTGAGGTACTGGATTGTTAAGGGGAATTATTAGATTGCTCACAGTGCCACTAGGTAAGATTAATCAAATCCTGTGTTATGATTGGCTATCTGAGCAGGCAAGATGGGCCCATCATGCCCACTTGGGATTGGGCACATTGATCCTGTGCATGAAAAAAATATAATTAGAGCTATGTTTATAATTCTTGGACAATTTTGACAGTGGAAATGCAAAAGTGCCAGAAGATAGTCAAAACAAAGAAAACAGAAACGACTCTCCTGAGTTTGTTGTGCTACAAACACAGTTGACTTTCTTTCCAGGCTTTCAAGGTAAACGAGTCATTCCTAATTCTTATTAAAGCGAAATCTTTTTGCAACATAATAAATCCTTTATTAACCAAGTTTGTTTGGTCGAGATGGCTGGATATGAGCCTTGTTCTTTTTTTGCATTTTTATAAACCTCAACTTTGTCTTGGCCCATAAAAATGCAAAAACAGAACTCGGCCAATATCCAGCCATCTTGACCTCACGCTTGGTTAATAAGCCAAATTTACAAAATAAATTGGTTTAATCCACTGAGTTGAAATTGTAAATTGGCCACCATAGAGAGTTTCTAAAGCTGATACATTTTGGATGGTAACCCCATGTCAGAGTGAAAATTGAGAGACACTTTTATGGATCCCACTGGATGAAAAAAGATGTCTAAAATAGATTTATATAATTACCATCAAAGTAAGAGAAAGACTTTCTCTTACACCAATCATGCATCCCCTTCTCTTTGCCAGGAAGCCAAATAAGAGTCTTGATTGGTGATCTCATGTGATATGAGGAATGTGCTACTTGACAATGGATTTTTATTTATTATAATTACTTTTTTTCTCAGTCAGCTCCTGTGTAACCTTAAACTCCTAAGGCAATAAACACCTATATTCTCCCTATAATATCAGAGGCGCATCCAGGAATTTTTGATTGGGGGGGTCCAAACTTTGGTTCAGAGAGGACTGTTGGACTCTCTTGAGGCAAATTACTTCTCCCCCACACTCCCTTCCACCGGTCATGGTTGCAGGATATAATTCCTTGGCCGCTTACCGTTTACTTGCCTGGATTCATTAAAAAAATCAGCCAGTTAAAAAGTGATATACAATCCTGTCGATGTAAGAATCTCAGTCACAAAGTTGTAAGTGTCAGGTCTGAGAGGGGGGGTCCAGACCCCCAGACCCACCCCCTGGATCCACCACTGAATACCCATACATTATCCAGCGAACAGGTAATGAGAATACACAAACATATCAGGTAGAAGTTGTTATCTTGAATTCTTGTAACTTATTTACAAGGAAATGTGTAGCAATCAGATCTTGAGAGTTTAAGGTTTAAGTTAAGTTACGGCAGCAAAGGGAAAGATCACTTAAGATTTCACAATACTCGTGCCATGCTTTCTAAAACTGAGGGGAGCAAATATGTAATTCATGAGAATTTAGGGAGGTTCTTACACTGCAACAACATTTTGTTCCAAGTTATAATAATTTTTAAATATACATTAGCACAAGCATAACATGATATAACATTGTTTGAATGTTACACTGTGACAACATTAAATTTCATAACTATAATTGCAATTAATATTGTGGTAATATAATTTTCAAAGAATTTATGCAATAATTAGACTGAATACTTTATCCAAATACTAGAAAATTGTTTGCATTCCTATTAAAAATAGACTTTAATTTATCATTTTTTAACTCTTAAATTGCAATATTGGACCAAAAAGGAAAAGTTAGGGTTAACTTAACCTAGAAACACCTAATATGCAAGGCTACACATTTTTTTTGGCAACTTAAGAAATTTCCAATAATTGATTAAAATCAAGTTTGATTGATTTTACACAAGTGTTTGAAACAACCAATAGGGTACATACCCTGGTATGATAATCGCATTTACCAACACAAGGAACCAAAATGAAATATCTTAAAACAGTACACGACTGTATAAATCCATTCATCCGGAATCAGAAAAGTGATAAGAAGAAAAAAAATATTAAAATAACAAATAGATTCAATTTTGCTGTGGGGCTGTCCAGTAATGCGTCACTGATGTTCCTACTGTACTACATTTTGACATCTTCCCTGAGCTATCTCGAATCAGCACAGATATGTAACAACATGGAATCTTATTGTTTTACAAGGTGAAAAAAGCAAAATGTTGTTATTGTTGATGCCATAAATGCATCTGCCCTTTAAAGGTTAACAGTTTGAATAGTTAATAACTTAGAATTTCATTTGATAAAAATACAACAAGTTTCAAGCTACGTATGAGACCTCAATGAATAAAACTACCTTTTATCCTTTGGTCTCAGTGACACTGGATCTCTTGGTGTGATCCAAATTCTTTTAAAGGTAAAAATATGTAAAACCTACAGTTAGCTTACACAGTGCTGAAGGAAGGTTTTGACTGCATTGCATAAAGCAGCCATAAACCCACCCTAATTTAATCTCTAGCTTTTTTTTCTTTTGTGCTGCTATTGTCTACTGTGGAACAGGATAAGGAATGCAATACCACATAAATTGCTAATCATGTGATAGGTTTCCCAAAAGTAATTAGCCATACAGTGGTAGGAAATTTTTCCGGTAGATAACATTATCCAGCAGGCCCTCCTTAAAGCTCTTACTCCAGCTTTGAAGGATCAATAATATGCCTGTTGATATTACGTGCTCCAATCAGCAAACAGCCACAGAACAAAGATGACAGCTCAAGACAAACAAAGACACCTCCCCAGTCGTACACCTTACTGATTGCCGTCAGAGGGATTCCTGCCAGCGTCGCTCCCACTGGTTAAAAAATGAAAAAGAATTTAAAAATGTAAAAAGAGTTTCAAAGCACAAACTTTGAACTTGCATCTGGGTAATTTCATGTGCTTATATTCATAAATAGTTACTAAACTAAGATAAACAAATGGTGAAAATAATTTTTTTTTTTTTGGCTGAAAATGAGATAGAGTTCCTTGCACTTTTTGCAAGAAGCTAATGGTTGAGTACATGTAGAGGGAAACTGATTCTAATATTTGGTTTTCATAAGTGATGTGGACTTACAAGGCCGGTGTGAGAAATCTTTTAGCACAGACAAGATCAGTAATGTTTCTGTCCAGAAACATGGGTCACCCCAGCAGAATATGAGTAACAGTTAGTGGGTTTGCCAATTAAAGCATGCACCTTAATTCTTTCCACCCATACATCAGTATGCATAATCTCCATACTGTTCTTCCAAGGTGTTGATAAATACTTTGATTAAAAATCAACAGCTTTTTTTGTTAGTTGGTGGTCATTTCTTATATTCTCATGATCTTAATGTTTGATTGAAGGGTGATATTGTAAGGAGAAATGAGAAGTTGGTTGCTCTTAGAGAGAAACCCTCTACACCCTAAGGAACATTTTGTTTAACAATCAAGTGCTTTTTTAGTTGGTGATCATTTCTTTTATTCTTGTGGCCTAAAATGTTTCATTCAGGGGTGATATTTTAAGGAAAAGTTATATGCTGGTCACTCTTGCCATGCAAAGGGTAAAGTTAAAAAAAAAATTGCTTAAGCCTGATTTCTGCAAACTGCCCAGCACAAGACTAGGAGAAAAATTGCCATTGCTCACCATTTGCAGCTAGAGCAACAATTGCATGAGATGTTCCACTGAGTCCCGGTGGACTGTTCTCCATGGCTAGCACTCCATACAGATTGATGGCTGTGTATAATGAGAAGCCTATGCCAAATATCAGTGTTGAAATAAACCACTGCAACAGAATGGCAGCAAAATAAGTGAGTGCTGATACCTAAATACATTGCCTTTAACCCATCATCTGATTGCTACTTCACATTTCCTTGTAACTTTAATTTAGGAAGAACACATTATATTGATCTAGATAACACAAAATTCTTTTCGCTAATTTAGTTTAACAAGAATTTTGAGTCAGATAAAGATAATGCGTTCTACCTCATAAGTTTGAGTATTTTCATTACCTATTTGCTGGATAATGTATGGATTTTATAGGGAGAAGTTACATGTTAATTGCCTCTGGGAGTTTAAGGATTAAAGATCTCTGACACCTTTCCTTTTTTCTCCCTGTATTTTAAAGATGCATGGTGTACATAAATTCCAGGTTGACTCAGCGGATGCTTCAAAGTTACAGTGAGTGGAAAGTGTTGGGTATTACAGCAGTATGAAGTTCTATAATAGTTCTTTTTATTTTAAATTTACATTTAAAACTTTGCACTGAACTGAGAAGTGTGGGTTTGTGCCCCATCTGCATGATTTTTGCCACATTCTTGTAACCAAGACTTTTTTCTCACACAGTACTTTCTAATGGAAACTATCAATTGAAGGCTAGTTAAAAGAAATCATTAAAACTCAGTGGAGTTGCCTTGAGAGTATTAAGAATCCATCTATAATATAATTATCGATAATATCATCATAACCTAAACCTATCCAGGTTGCATCTACATGTATGGTACAATCTATATCAATTAGTGCTATCACATAGTGTTAATGAAAGAAGCCAAAAATGTTAACAATTAACTGCTATTAAACCTTTTCACTCCAAAGATTGCAATGGTAGTTCTGCTTGTCTACTAAGCATTTCTCTTTGTATTAGTTGGAGGAATTCAGTTAAATCATACTGTTAGTGATACTGTTGGGAAAAATTACTTTTTAGTGCAATATTAACATTTAGTAGTTGCCACAGCAGTTATCATGTACCTCCATACCAGTGAAGTAGATGACGTCACAGCTGTGTGCAAGAGATACACACAGGCTAACTGTAAGAATGCAAAGCCAATCATGGGAGGAACTCTTGGACTGGAGAGTGTGGAGTTTCCATACTGTAAGTCACAAACAGACACAACATATCAAGAGGTGAACTAGTTTGAAGAATTTAAAACATTTAGTAATAAATAAAATTATTTTTAGGTGCAATAAGCTGAACTAAGTGAAACAGTACTGTCTGCAGTTAGATATAGCTCTTTGGCATATAAAGCCCTGCTTTCATGTCCAAATTGAGCACTGTGGGATGAGTCATTGCCGCTAGAATTGTACACAGCTTACTAGGCTTTTCTAGTTTGAGCACTCTGGCATGGCGTAGATGATACCACAAATGTGGGATCGTTTCGGGTGACCATATTGGTTCTCCTCCATCCTAGCATCAGCACTGCACTGAAGAGGTTCAGAAGGCCGAAACAGTATTGTCTGCAGTTAGATATATATATATATATTTTTTTTTTTCTGGCACGTAAATTTTACTTTTCAGATGAAGAAGAATACATGTCACTCTCTGAGTCCTAACAAAGTTCTTTTTTTACCATGAAATACCTGTTATTTTTTATTGTCACTTAATTATGTGAATAACCAAGTCTGTGCCAATATTTCAATCAATTGTTTGACCACGCCCAACAGAAAAAATTGGTTCCCCATTTTCTGAACATCAATAAGCCTCTAGTATGAATATGAATTACTGAAAGCTAATGCCCAACCTTAAGCATCAACTTGTCCGTTATATAACCAGATGTTATGCTACCAAAGAGTCCACCTATCTCTAAGAAGCTCATAGCAACACTACCTGAGGAAAAAAAAACACACACATTAAAAATCAAATTGTACAAAAAATGTTCTCCTCTTGAGGTGGTAAGGGGCAAAATTTACTGTCTGTAGTAGTACAAATGACATTAGATTTCGTTAGACATTTAAGAATAAATATTAGCAAGAAAAACACACAACATTTCGATGACTCCATGTCATCATTCTCAAATGAGAGGAGAATAAAAATGAATAATAATTTATACCGTACAAAGATGACAAATGTAAAAAGTTAAAAATTTTAAAAATTTAAATAAAATACCTGTGCGTGTTGAGTTCATAAATGTAAACTATTAAATAAATAGTTTCGCGCGTATGGAATCCGATTGTTTGTTCAAAGAGGGCTTCATCTTCTTTATGAAAAGCATTTCATGAACTAAACAGTCCAGTTTCCCGGTGCACTTTTTAAGTACGTTGAAATGCTTGGTCAGGTCGCCGATGGTTTGTAGGCCGTGGTCGTTCTTTAGATGTTTGCCGATGGCCGAATTACGGTGCTCATTAATACGTTGATGTAAATGCCGGCTGGTGTACCCGACGTACTCTGCATCACACAGATCACATTTATAATTATATACAACGCATTGTTGGCTAACTATAGGAGGTTTAGGCTCACGTACTCTGAGATCTTCACAGATTTTGCGACTCTTGAACACGGGATGAAGGGTGTGATCGATTTTGTTGCTTAGATCTGATAATTGCCTTTTCACTGCGTCAGCTGACTTTTGATCTTTAAAAGGCAAAACCACTCGGTGAACAGCATTTTCGTTGACGGATAATTGAGCTTGCACTCCAGGGTTTTCCGACCTAACTGAGGTGACAAAGTGAGAGATGGTGGAATTGATGAGGTGGTCGGGATACTTGAGGTTTGTAAACATCATCTTTAGATGATCACATTCAGATTTGAAGGACTCCCATGTGGACGACAGGCGGAATGCACGATTCAACATGGTCTTAAGTAGTGATTTCTTGTACCTTTTATCGACGTGGCTCTGGTGATGAAGCAATAGGCCTGTGTTTGTTGGTTTCCGATAAACACTAGTTTCTAGTTTACAGCCTTTCTTGAGCACTTCCATACCGACAAAAGGTAACTTGTTTCCAGATGCTAGCTCCATGGTGAAGTGTATGGACGGATGGCAGTTATTTAGCGTTGATAATAAATCTTCTGCCGCTGGTACACTTGTGACAATAGCAAACGTGTCATCCACGTACCTTCTGTAAAATTCAGGGAGCTTGTTGTCTTGATCTAGTTTCTCTTCGATAGAACAGAGAAATGCGTTTGCCATAAGTGGGCCCAATGGAGAACCCATGGCCACACCGTCGGTCTGCTCGTAAAGATTGCCATCAAATTGGAATAGTTGATTCATAGTTGCAACTTCTAGAAGTTGAACCAGTTCAGGCTTTGTAATGCTGAGGTCGTGTGTAGTATTAAACCAGTTGTCAGCGAACGCCTTCTCAGCGATGATTTCGATCGTTTCTTGAAGCGGCACATTAGTGAATAGTGACGTGACGTCATAGGATACCAGAATGTCATTCTCGTCGATGACTAGGTTTTGAATCTCATCGGCGAAGGAGAAGGTATCTGATATTGTGTAGCGATTGCTTGACAGGGGCTTCAGTTTGTCATCAAGCCACTTGGCGAGGGCATAGTTGTAAGTGCCGGTGGCAGATAGGATAGGTCTCATCGATAGATTCTCTTTGTGTGTCTTAGGGAGTCCATAAAGATGGGCAAGGCGTGAGCCAGCCTGGCAAACACAGTCGGCAATCTGCTTTGGTAAGATCTTCCGTACAACAGATGCAAGGTGCTTTTCCTTCTCCAATAGAGGGTGTTATTTAAATTTTTAAAATTTTTAACTTTTTATGTTTGTCATCTTCGTACAGTATAAATCATTATTCATTTTTATTCTCTTCTCACTTGAGAATGATGATATGGAGTCATTGAAACGTTGTGTGTTTTTCTCGCTAATATCTATTCTTAAATGTAGTAGTACATCAGCCTAAAATCATTACAAATGAATAAAGGCTGATAGTTTCTAAAGAAACTGTTAGGGGCTGCATTGGTGGGGGTAACAAAATAATTTGGATATATCAACAAAGTTGAAATGGTGAATTGGCCACCGTAACAATTACAAAAGCTGATGTTCCGAGCTTTAGCCCTTCTTTAGCCCTTAGCTCCGACGAAGGGCTAACGCTCGAAACGTCAGCTTTTGTAATCATTATGGTGGCCAATTTACCATGCATTTCAACTTTGTTGATAAAATCATTACAGCCTGAAATCACTGGGAAAATTTGAAAATTCAATGGGTAAAATAAAGGGTTGCTTTGTCAGTTTCAAAATTTCTTTTACCTGTTGTGGTTAAAATAAGGGAGAACACTTTAAAATATACTTTTCATGATGATAAAAATTGATGTAGTTTTTTTTTTTCTCCCTACCACACATCATACCCGCTCTACTATTTGCATCGAGCACTGTTTCACAGACACCAAGTTTAATCCCTCTAATAGATAAATATGTAATTTAACAATAATAATAGAACTGATGTACGTAAATGCTGAATTAAACTTAATAATTTCCTTACACAAAAAGCAAAGATGTTATTCAAACAGATGTCAATCCTAACAATTACAATGCGGAAGAAAGATTGCAGTTAAAACCTTTATTACTTCAATCACCCATCAAGATCACTTGAAGCCATACATGAAACAAGATATCAACAATGATCACAAATCTTAAGGCCAAACAGATTTTGAGGCTGAGTAGAAAGTTAAGGCAACTTAATATGAATTTTTCTAAGTATATAACATTTGCTACAGCAGCCTCTACTTTCAGAAACATATTTTGACCCTCACTAATATTTTTCTTGCTGCTAAAGATTACCCTACTGCAGCAATCTGCTTCCATTAAGTAATTTACTCCTCATTTGTAATAGCATACCTTTTTTGCGCTTTCTCTCATCTCTTTAAGTTCTTTCTCAGTTTTTTACTTTAATGTCACATCACTATTGTAAATGTGACAGACGCCTTGGGAAGCATTTCACTAAAATTGTCTCAGCCAGTAGAAGAATTTGCCTGATTTTTGCAACGTCATTAACCCTGAACATTATCTTTCAAATTCTTCCCACTCTCCTCTTTACATTTCATCTGGTACAGTAGCAACAAGGAAAATTTCCTGGACAATCAAGAGCTTCCTAGATTAGAGATAATTTTTTTTTACTCTCAGGACCTTTTCATTTGATTCACAGGCGAAACTGCAAGGAGAAATTAGGAGCCGCTTGTTCTTTGAGGCTATAGAGAGTTATTTAAAAAATATGTGATTCAATTCAACAAAATAATGTCTAACAATTTATACTCACTGTCATACTGTGTTCTTCCAATTGTCTGTATTAAAAAAAGTTGTGTCCATTCCCCAACTCCAGTCTTAACAAACAGAGTCAGTAGATATCCGATGCTCAAAACCCACAAAAACGGACTGTAGAGCATGGTAATAATGTAGTCTTTCCTGTTCTCTACTGTTTTGTTTTCAGTTCTTGATTTCATGGTTGTCCTTTGGGTAAATTCCTCCAGTCCCATTTCTGACGGGGAATCACAGATGAGGTAATAAGCTAAAACAGACATTGCAGCAGTACTGACTCCAGGGGTGATAAATGCTGCTGACCAACCAAAGTTTGAAGTAAGAAATGCTGTTACCACCGGAGAAATGCTTGATGCAAGGTTACAGCCAGCTGTAAGAAGACTCCACAGAGTACCCAACTAAAATAGAGGAGGCATGCACACAGCTTAGCTACTGGACATTCAATGATAAATTTAGTACTTCGGCTGCCAATCACTAGACAATCACAAATGCTGTAATCTGATCGGTAAAACTACTTTCTATCTATTATAACATTAGTACTCCTCCTCACTTTCTGCTATACAATTCTTAGGATGTTAGTTTGGAGATTTTGGTATTACTCTATCTACTAATGATCTCCTGGTGATGTTTTTCTTTATTCTCATTGTTTGTCTGCTTGATTTTGTATTAAAATTATAAGGAGAAATTTTGTCTTGGTCACTCATGAGAGTTAAAGGTTTAAGTGAGTAGTCTCAATATATTTTAGGGATTGTAAGCAAAAAAACACAGACAAGAGGCCTTCTTGGTGCTGAGTCTTGGGTGAAAAATAGATTCAAACTGAACAATTGGATAATATGCTCTTGATTGCTATGCAATGTAGAATTCTCTTATGATCTAATTATTAATTAGAAAAAGATAATGGATATCTAGACTGATATATTCTGTTTAAGATCTGTTACAACAATTGTGTACATCAACATTTCCCTGAAAACCATTACACATAACTCTTCATAAACTTTTAACATTTTTAAAGGTGCTAAGACTGTTTAACACTGCAGCCTTAGTGGGTTTAAAGTAAGCTTGTTGTGGTGCAGAATGGGCTGACAACATTTTAAGGTGTTTTGATGTGTTCTGCCACTGAATAATTATCACTTTTCTCCTTGGTTTATTAATAGTGAATAAAAATAATTAATATTCAGGGCTGTAGTCTAGCAGTGTCTTGTAGCCCCTGGCACACCTTACTTTTGTTCTTGGGCGACTCAGGAATCTTAATTTTTTTTCTTAAGAAGCATATGCTGCGGGCACCCTGGATTCCACAGTTTCAAAGCGCTGGGCTCCCTTCAATTTTTCTTAGAGCACAGCCTTGATATTCAGTAATTATTACGTCGCTCAGGGCAGGACAAAGAAGGGTAACCTATCATTTTTATTTAATCTGTTTGGAATAAAGGAATTTTATTCTTCCCCTGACATAAATTTTGGGTAATTAACTGTGAATAACTGGGGAAAATCTTGGGTGGACTTTTGTGTACTCAGTCTAGACTTATTCCAGACTTCCTAAGAATTTCCTTCTCCCAGCTCAAATTGATATTTTGGTCTACGTTACATAAAAGATCTATTTCATAAAAGATTTTAGCCAAATTCGACTGCGGTAGCGAGGCATTTGCTGTACACAATAAACTTGTGTTTTTTTTTTAATAAAAAAATTAATTTACGTGTTCAGTTCTATTTGTCGTTACTAGCATACAGTTTTCTGCCGAAGCTACAGATCTCAATACGAGAAAAAGACGAAGTGACCGAAATCGCAGAAAGATTTTTCCCATTACCTTCTCAAAAATTTGATTCACGTTTCCTACATAACTACCCACCTCGTAAGGGGAGAACCATTCTCTGAGTAATTTAGTACACGGAGGCCAACCGCAACCTTGAGCGAGACCGTTTACGCTCCATAGAAACGTCAAAAGCCAGACGTTCCCAGTGAATCCAATCAGAATGTTTATCGTTGCAGTTAATAACATCCCCGCTGTAAACATCGTTCTAGGACTCAGAGAATCTGATAATAAACCGCCCGTAAATTTTCCGACGCCGTACATCGCTGCAAAACCACTTGTTATAACACCGAGTTCATTCTTTTTCAAGTTAAGATCTCTTATTAAGGCCGGTATGGCAAAGGTGTAAGACTTTCTTGAGAAGTAATAGGAGGAGTAACCTAAAAATAGTGAGATATAAACACTCCATCGAATTATTTGATAACGGTGAAAGTTGGAGTCCTTCAGAGTCGCCATGTTTGTTCACGTGACGGGTAATCGTTATTTTTATTTTGTCCCGCCGGCCAGCTGTCGTTAGGGTCGTCACGCAACACACAATGCGTATCACGTGACAAGTCAACAAGCGCCTTTGAAAGAGAGTAAAGAGATTCCAATACAGAATTACTTAATTGGAAGACTCCTTTCGTCTTTTTTTTTTTTCAAATATTTGCTGCATCTTTTTTTTTTTCATTGAAGTTCTTGCCTGAGAAATCAAAATAGCAGACCATTCCAAATAGGTTATCGGGGACAGCAGCCTATGCAATGAGCTCCTGTCAGGGGTGAAAAAAAAAAAGCTTCTTAGTAAAGCTGAAACTTGGCGTATCGGTGGAATACAATTTTTTGGCACTCACGCGTGAAATAATTTTTTTTTAAGCACGGGGATTATTGAAATAAAGTTGTCGGTGACCTTTTTCCTTTTCAAGTATTTAATTTTATTCGCGACGAACCCTTCTTTAATTACACAAGTCTTGATGATACCAATGGAAGTGTGAACAGTTTACTGGAGCAGTCCACCTTAAAAATTTGAATCAAGTAGATTTTATGGTGACACGACCAAACTCTTTCAACACCCCTTCTTCCAGTCACCAAAGGCGACGAATACTGAAGTACCAGTCTCTTATTTTAAATTTTAACAAGACCTGTTTTGTGTCTCTTCTTTGATGCCAAGTGACTGTTGCATAACTGATTGCTCAAGTCGCTAGAAACAAAGTGACCACAGATTGCCCAAGCCCAAATTACAAATGTATCTGTGCTCCATTATCGTTTAATACACAACTAATGTTTTTTTTTACTGGGAAAACATTGGCATTAAAGAAAGTTATCCATAAAATGTTATTGAGAATCAACGACAGTAAACGAACTATCAATAGGATAGCCCAAAGAAAAAACCATAAATCATAAATCTTTGGCTATCCTTTCATGTAGGACTACAGAAGAACAAAAGTCATCAGCTTACACCAGAATTAATCACCCACCCCCGTCAACCAGGAGGCCTTGATTGCTGTCGCTTAAATTGTCAACTGACTGGCCCAGATATCATTATTGATATCTAACTACAGGCCTATATCCCTTCTCTCGGTCGTCAGCAAGCTGTGTGAACGTTGTACACTTGATAAGCTCATACCCAAGCTCCTAGAGCTCCTGTCACTAAAGCAGCATGGCTTTGTTCCAAGAAAATCCTGTGTCACACATTTACTTACGGTACTTCACGATCTGGGTAAAACTCTCGACGCTGGACAAGAGTCGGATGTTCTTTATCTCGATTTCAGTAAGGCGTTTGATTCTGTGCCGCACAACCTTCTCCTGCACAAGTTATCATCATATTGCATCGATGGTCCATTGTACAGTTGGTTCTCCGACTACCTTCATTCTAGATATCACAGGGTGCACATAGAAGGTTCCTTCTCCAATTGGGTCAATGTGTCATCTGGTGTCCCTCAGGTAAGTCTAATTGGCCTATTCTTGCTCGTATCTTCATCAACGACCTACCAAAGACTCTCTCAGTGATGGAACAGCAATTGCTCTGTTTGCTGATGATGTCAAATGTTACAGATCAGTTAATGACTCTAGTGATTGTACTAATTTTCAACATGATATTAACAAGCTTTATGACTGGTCGCTTATAGATGGGGTTTAGCTTAAAATCTAGATAAATGTGTAGGAGTGAGAATAACTAGAAAACGAAACAGCTCTATACCGTTTCTTGTTGATAGTCATTATGAAGCCGGAGAACATGCCCTTGCGGTCGTTTCCTCACAAAAGGATCTCAGAGTTATAGTCTCAGACAAACTTACATGGAACTCTCACATTGAATGCGTTGTAGCCAAAGCCAACCGGATGTTGGGTTCTCTCCGTCGGAACTGTGCTGACATTGGGCTGATATCAGGAGAACGCTATATCTTTCTTTTGTGCGTTCCCACTTAGGCTATGCTAGCGAGGTCTGGGCCCCTCAATCTACTGTCCATCGCTTGCGTATTCTAGAGGGTGTTCAACGTCGGGCAACTCGTTTCATTTTCAACTGAAGTTATAAGGTATCGGAAAGACCTGATTATAAGTCCCGCTTAAAAATGCTAAAACTGTTACCATTATGTTATTGGCACGAACTTCGAGACATCTGCTTCTTCTTCAAGTGTATGCATAAGTAATACAATATCAATATCAATGAATATATCAACTTGATCCCTGGCCGTACTAGGAATTCCAACAACTTTAATTTGCGACCACGTCGTGTTCGTACTTCCTTATTTCGTGATTAATTTTTTAATCGCATTGTTTCCTTATGGAACAATATTCCGTCAGATATTCGTGAAACTATAGCTCTTTCTACCTTTAAAGACCGTCTATTTAACTATTTCTTTAACATATCTATCGGTAATATTGACACATCTAGAATTCAAACATCGAAAACAGTCTCCCCACATTGCCACTCGATTTATAGAAAGAACTGTTGTTGATTATTGTTTTTGTTTACATAGGTTTTAGTATAGTATATACTTATGGGGGCTGACCTCACTGGGACCTCGAGTACGTACGTTAGTCCCTTATTTACTACTTTTTTTCTATTCTTTATATCATTATTCTTTGTCACTAAATGGAAGTTACTATAAATAAATTAATTAATTAATATGACTTCTGCCTGTAAAATGAAAACTTTATTCTTCGAGAAATTAATGAAAATTAATGATGGTGGCCTTTAGAAAAGGTGTGTCTCCTTTGTATTTTCTTAGGCGAGCGACGGACAAGCGTGCGAGGGGGGTGCGTTCCTTACCACTTACGTGTCTCGTGGGTGTCTGCTTCGCTCGCCTGAAACAGATTGACGCCTATTCTATACGCTAGCTTGGTAATGGTTTCTTGATATAACAAAAGATTATCTTGTCCTATTTTCAAGGAATTATATACTAACTAGAAGGGAATAAAAACGATTCAGATCTAAGGGAAACTGAGACCTGTTATTCCAAAATACTTTGTGTTCTTGTAGAAAACGCAGACATCTTCCTCAACTGACTCCATGCTTCGTCCATATTCATCTGAAAATAATGGAGTAAATATACTTAAAATGACTTTATAAAATTTTGTAGGGTAATCTTTTGAGAAATTTAAACGCCAAACTTCGAGCTCGCAGATAAAAACACCTTAAACTAGCAAGTTTGTGCACATTTTGGAACTATGACTTACTTTTAAAAATGTCGCGTTGAATAGTAAATTTTTTTCACTGCAGGGAATAGAGCTTTTGTGCATGGTCAGAAATCAATTTTTGTCTTAGATCAACTTTAGCATACCCCATCTTTACAGCTACGGAAAAAGATTGCTTTCGTCTCAAAAAATTCATAAGACAAAATCATCAGCATAAATCAAAGACTCGGGTAAATGCCTGACAAAACATAGTAGCAAGTATGTCTATCTAATCAAACGTAATGGACACTCGATACGTTTGAGAATCACTCGGCTTTGGCTCGTGATCTGGAAGACCTCTCTGGCTGAGGGACGTCGACGTTCTCTTAACACCCTGTATGAGGCGTCACGCCCGTAGACCGATAAAGCAAGAGCAGTCTAATCGGCTTAGGTACACTAAAACTGTATTAATAAACGACATATTCTTTTTACCTTTCGAGTAAAATTTCTCGCCCAACCACCATCTTCGTTTGCAACAGCTTCTTGTGAAGAACTCCTTCATGGAAGCACGGTACTGTTTGTTGCAAAGCACGTACACCAATGGATTTAAAAAAGGGTTAGCTCAGTTGGTTAGAGCGCCGGATTGTGTTGTGCGGGAGGTCGAGGGTTCGAGCCCCGGCCGGACCACTACTCATGGTCTTAAAATAAGAAATGGATAAATATTCTAGTCTTCTCGGATAAGGACGAATAACCCGTAGGTCCTGTCTCCTGCAGGGTTAGGGGTAGGAGACGTTAATTTCCCACGCACGAGATTATTGTGTGTAGTGGATGTCCTCCCCTGGGGTGGGATGAGAGGGAGGGTGAGATCGTTACATGGACTGAAGCGGCTGCCAGAAGCGCCTGATAATGCTGACGTCCGATCTCAACGTTATCATTGTAACTAGACATGTTTGTTGTTTAGAGTGCTTAAGACTTCCGACTTTCGACTCCAATCAGTAGTTCCGAGTAGAAGTAAGTGTTGTCATCGTATGAAGGTGGGCCTCGTATCAGAATAAACACATGGTAAGACTGAAAGAATTAGGAAATATGACTATACCATAAGTTTTAAATTTCCCTTTCAGTTAATTACACTTTCATGTTTATCACACCTCATTTTCTGTGATTGAAAGCCTTAGAATCGGGATTTATTGGAATTATCTCACAAGGCAAATACGGGCATTGTTGATCCCCATCCCCCTCCATGCGTAAGCCCCCCCCCCTTGCTGAAAAGGCGATCAGAAAATTTACTTCTGATTTTGTCTACGTTTCTGCAAATCGCAAAATTAAAGAAAGTAGAAATGGGGTTTTATTTTTTACAATGAAAGGGGAGAGCAAAGGAAGCAAAAAAAATTCAGGTGACTGGAGTCAAATGAAAGGTATCCGGGCGTTTCGTACCCACAAATACGTTTAATCGAAATACTCGCTTGGACCATTGTAACTATATGCTTGGGCGTCCTGCTGCTCTCATGATGATACGTTGCTCACTGGCTATTTTCTTGCTAGATTTACAGAACAGCTTTGCACTGATCCTTTGTCTTCAAAAACTTCAAACTGTTTAGCTTTTTTATATGAAACAAGGAAAGTCTATTGACAATTAAAATCTATTCTTTCAATATGTTGATATTTTCGCAGGGTTGTTGTACGTTCCTCTTTCGCAGAATTTCGTTTTGCCATCCACAGAAACATTGATCAATCGCTACATCTTTTATTTTTTTGTGATTCTAATTAATCATGACGATCAAAAACACCGAAGAAACGTTAAATTTGTTACAGAGAATATTATGTAGAAATTTTGCAATTTGTGGCATCATCCGTCGGCTGGAACGAGAAACACTTTCAATTCGATCATGGGAACAATTTCAGTAAACGAATATTAATCTTACCCATGCACGGCCGTACTCAGGCTTGTAAAAATTGCCCTACATAAGTACTTACTAAGAATGGAACGTAGCAAATACAAAACAATACAACAATCACGAAAGTTAATCGAGCAAAACCTCCTTGTTGCTCGTTAACTTTCTCGATGCCAGCTCCTCGCTGCTGCTTTTCGAAAAGCAAACTGCTTACTCTTTGCTTCCTTTTAACAAAGCACAAAATAGTGACACAAGAAATATGTCACAGCCAAAGCGACCAAGCTTCCTCCCACGATCGTGGCGAAGAGTAGAATCCTATTATTTGATCTCTCTGTTGTTAAATCGAGGGCACAGTAAAGTCCTTTCCTGTACAAACGAAACTTTCCAAAGCCCGTAACAGGAAGGATAAGGTGAGCGCAAGGCCATAACAGACCGACTATAAGTGCCCTCTGTACTCTTGGATATGTAACTTGGTTTCTGTAGTACAAAGGCCTTGTAATGCTAGGAAACGAAGCAGGCACATTATAAACACGATAAGAAAAGACCAGCTTGGGAACTTGGAGGAGATGAACGCTGTAACGGAGCACAGAATCTCGCCACCAATCCACGAACATGTTGCATTGGAGATGACACCTGTTTTCTTCCAAGCCAGGAAGCTTCCATATTGCCATCGCTGCGACCAAAATAGCCAGGAATGATAGAAATTACACAGTGGCTTTTGCGACAATCTCCGTGTCATTGCTGCAAAACATTTCTGGTGACCAAGGAACAGTTTGATTCTCGGTCGAATTCACTTATTCAGCAAGGCTTTGTTGACCTTCTCTTGAAAGCAAACAGGAATTAAACGATGATGATGTATCAAGACTAAAAACCCGTCGCAGGAGTTTCCTCGCTATCCGATGACTTTCACTTCAAATCTAAATGAACTCNAGATATCTGCAAATATACATATATTTTCGTGTTTTACTAAACTCCTATTTGAATGAATTCAGAAGTAGGTGAATTTTCCCGTGCGTCTAAACTGTCGTTGATAATGACTTAAAATAAATATATTGCATAGATACTTTACTTCTAAAGCTTAGAATCCACAAGGTATAGATGAAAAGAAAATCTGAATTAGTGAAAATATTGTGGCGGTTACAAATCCAACGGAAGTAAACCATTCTCTACGCTTCGCAGTTAATTCAATATAGCTGCAAATGTTGTTTTTACTCATTTCATACCACGTGACCAATCTATGACGTCGTATAAAGCTAAAGAGATTTCTGCTTTCAGTTTCTAAACGCAGGGGGACCACTTAAACGTGTTGGGAAATTTCCCTTTTTAACGGTTTAAATGTTTAAACGCCCTTCTTTTTAGGCAACTACACGTTGATACCTGCCGTAGGATATTTCCAAAGTCTCGTAACAAAGGTTGGTGAAGGGAACTAATAACAACCCGGAAATGCTAAGGAAAGGTTTTGCTTTTAGTAGATGTGATTAGTTTCGCCTTCTCGACAACTCAGCGACACAAACCGTAGGTGCAATCACAGATATCTATAAATGTAAATATATTTTCGTGTTTCACCAAATCCCTATTTGAATGACTTCAGAAGAAGGTGAATTTTCCCGTGAGTCTGAGCGAGTTCATTTCGATAGTTGCAGGTGGTTATTTCCATAGTCTTATAAAGGAAGTTTTGTTGTGGATTAGTTATATCAGCTTTTCTTTTTTGACTCGTTGTTTAGGCTAGTAACGGAAACTAAAGGGACTCGGAAGCGCTGAGGTAAGATTCTGGTTGTAGTAGGATACTAGTAGATGTGATTAGTTTCTTCCTCCCGTTAACTCAGCGACACATACGCAGTTGCAGTTACAGCTGTCCGTAAATTTATAACACTATGTCGTTTGGCAAAACATTTCTATGAAGAATCTAAAAATAGTGGAGTTTAGTCAGCTTGCAATGTAGAGGCGGCTCTTAATTTTGTTTGGCAGTGTACTTTTACACAGAGTATTACTCGGTGAAGAGTCGGGTAGGTTGATCGCATTCAACAACTAGTTCTGGGTCAGGATACATTTTAATTTATGCAGGGTCACGTTAGTCAGAAACGTCTTTGGAGCGATAGGAACACCGCAGATGGATAACAAATTCAGTTGCATCTTTTGTCATTCTTCCTAACACATCAAAACTTGTTTTCATTGCACCTTCACCTACTTTATCTTACGTTAGAATAAAGAGGAATCGAGATG